TTTTTCCAATCTCTCCTTCTGGTTGGTGGGTTTGCAGGAAGAACATACACAGCCTTCTCCAAGCATAATTTTTTAAAAAATATGGTAGGTTATGTCAGACACATTGGATTAATGCAATTGCAGGATAGTTGCATGAGGGGGGTTTGGTGGGGGCAAAACTAATCCCTGTTGGTAGGAGGATGGTGGGAAAAGTGCTTCGAGAGGGGTGACATGACACCTTTTACTTCTGGTCATGTGTCCATCTTGCCCCGAGCTTGTTATGTCCAGGGGCGTGGCTAATGGGGGGTTAGGGAATATGGCTAATGGGGGTCAGGGGCATGGTTAAAATGTGTCAGGGGTATGGCTAATGGGGGTCGGAGGTGTGGTTAACAGGGTTCCAGGCGTGTGGCTAATGTGGCACCACCAAAAATTATACAAACCTGCCACCCCCACAGTGTGTGTTTGTGGGAATGACAGAGATACACCGTGTGTGAGCGACAGATTTGCATGGCCAAGCTCCCTCCATCCTTTTCTCTCTGAGTGGAGACGGGGTACAGGAGTGGGGGGAGAACGAAACACCCTGACATGAGCACCTCCTCACCTGACATCAGCACCCCCCTCTTCTCCCTCCCACATGCTGCACAGCCAGCAGGAAGCTCGTAGGGGAGGAACACCAAGATTCATCATGCTAACCAGCAGCAAGTAACGGCCCCATTATCTAGCCTGGCAGTGACAACTCGTGGCTATAGGTCTCATTCTAGTAACTGTGATTAGTGCTCTGCTAAATCCTTGCATCAAAACAAAATGTTTAATTTTTTTTCACGAGTCACAACACGAAATAGACAGTCAGTACACTTTTGCATATACAAAGATGCAGACTTTTATCCATATGTGTCAAGTCAAGAGACATAATCCTTAATTTCAAGCATAAACTGTAAGAACTATTTCATGTGTCAATATTAATGATAACAAATTTTGATTACTACGTCAAGAAAAAGGACAATTTTTTTCATGCCTCAAAGAAACAGATACATGCAGGATACCAAATAGTTACTGAAAATGTGCAGGATTAATTTTATTTTTATTTGGTTTCATAATAAATAAAGTTCTCCACTTAAGAAGGAACAATTGGTTTCACACATACAGGCTGTGTCTAGACTGGCAAGTTTTTCCGGAAAATCAGCCGCTTTACTGGAAAAACTTGCCAGCTGTCTACACTGGCCGCTTGAATTTCCGGAAAAGCACTGACGATCTACTGTAAAATCATCAGTGCTTTCCCGGAAATACTATGCTGGTCCCGTTCGGGCAAAAGGGCCAGTATAGACAGCAGAGTAGTGTTTTCCGCAAAAAAGCCCCGATCGTGAAAAAGGGGATCGGGGCTTTTTTGCAGAAAACCGCGTCTAGATTGGCCACGGAATCTTTTGCGGAAGTGCTTTTGCGGAAAAGCATCCTGCCAATCTAGATGTGCTTTTCCAAAAATGCTTTTAACAGAAAACTTTTCCATTAAAAGCATTTTCGGAAATCATGCCAGTGTAGACATAGTCCCTGAGTGGGAAGTGACTATCTAGGAAGGATTACTGCCGAAAGAGATCGAGGAGTCATAGTGGACAACAAATTAAATATGAGCCAGCAGTGTGGGACTGTTGGAAAACTAAGAAAACATGATTCTAGGATGCATTAACAGGAGTGTGGTGAGCAAGACATGAGAAGTCATTATTCCGCTTTACTTTGCGCTGACGAGGCCTCAATTGGAGTCCAGTTCTGGGCACCACATGTCAAGAAAGATGTGGAGAAATTGGAGAAGGTCCAGAGAAGAGCAACAAAAATGATTAAAGGTCTAGAAAAGAGGAGCTATGAGGGAAGATTGAAAGACTTGGGCTTGTATAGTTTAGAAAAGAGAAGACTGAGAGGGGACAAGATAGCTGTATTCAAGTACCTAAAAAGGTGTTACAAGGAAAAGGGAGAGAAATTGTTCTCCTTGGTCTCTGAGGTTAGGACTAGAAGCAATGGGATTAAATGGCAGCAAGGGAGGTTTAGGCTGGTTATCTGGAAAAACTTCTTAACTGTCAGGGTGGTTAGACACTGGAATAAGTTGCCTATGAAGGTTGTGGAATCTCCATCACTGGAGATATTTAAGAGCAGTTTGGGCAGACACCTGCAGGGATGATCTGGTGCTCAGGTGCCGCTAAGGGCAGGGGACTGGACTGGATGATCTCACTAGGTCCCCTCCTGTTCTAGTGATCTGATTCTATGACCTCAATATTGGTGCATGAGAGAAAACTCACTCCACTAATGGATAAAATATTTTAGCGAGAACACACCTGAGGTCCAGAGCTAAACCCTCCAAGATGCCCTATTACTTTCAGCACTGCTTTTTTAGATCGTCAGGGGCAAGTGAGAGCAAAGCAGACAGACATGCAGAATTTGCAAAAGGTTCCAAAAACCATGTGCTGCTTCCTCTAGCTAGCACGTAAAACACACGAATTAAGACACAATTCATGGGGCACATTCCCCTGCCTCTGTTTTGCCACCGCTCTGCAGTGTCTTTTCATGTGACTCTTCTAAAAAGTACAGGGCCGCCCCTTCTGCACAAGGCTTCTCCTGAAAAGCAGGGAATCTTCCTCTTTGCTCTACGGTCAGTACCGTCATCTCTCCGACACAATGGCCAGTCAGAGATCTTCTCTTTTGTAACCTCCTATCCCCTTTCTTGGATGGCTCCAAATCAACCCCATCAGCTGATCAAGGCCTCCATCTTGGACTAAAGTGGAGCCGACAGACTGGCCAGTCTCCTGGACAAGGTGGAGTAGGGTTTCCTTCTGGTATCTCTCACGAGGAAGGGGTGGGCCGTGACTGGAAGGGATGGGCTGGGCTTAGCTTCCCCTAGGTGACCTCAGTGGTGCCCGGAGTACAAGGCGCCTCCACCAGCAGGCCCTCGATGCTGCCCATAGTGCAGCGTAGGTTGCTCCAGTGGTGATTTAAACACCTGCGGTGGTGGTTGCCAGAAGCCCTGCGCCCGCTTGAATCACCAAACCTCAAGGCAATTGCTCTATTCCTCCAGCCCACTCCCCCTTAGGCAGCCCTGCCTACTTCCCTTGTGGAGTTCAGACTTGACTAATGAGCACACCAGGCAGCAGCCGACTCCTGGTCGGAGGGTTCTCCCTTTGAATGAAAGACCAGCAAAGGAGTACGCCTGCCGTAACCCCACTGCTGCACCACCTGGAAGCCATCACAGTTGAATAGTGGCCGGGCAGAGCCTGCTCCCTGAACACCTGTCCCAGCCCTGAAACTCCTTCTGCACCCAACCTCCTGCCCCAGACGTGAGTCCCCTTGCACCCAAACTCTTTCCCAGAGCTTGTGACCTGAAACACATCCTGGATCCCTCCCCTGGGCTAAGCCCGGAGCCCCTCCCACACTCCAAACCCCTTCACCCATGACCAGAGGCTACACTCCAACCCCCTACCCCAGCCTGGTGACCGTGAATGAAGATGGGGGAGGAAGGGAGATAGAGTGAGTGGGGGAGGCCTCAAAGGATTGGGAAGGAAGTGCTGCAGGGCTGTTTGGATTTGAGGTGGATCTTACATTGCACTTGGTTTGGAAAAACTGATGTTGTGGTTAAGGAGGTTGGAGAGCACTGCTCCAATGGCCCTCTCATCTAGCGGATCCAGGCCCTTGCTAACTGTACAGCTGCCATTGTTAAAGAGCTCTTCTGAAAGCATTTGGTCAGTTCTCCTAATTCATGTAGGACGTTTAATACAGCAACAGTGAAATGGTAATTAGTGTCAGAGAGTTCATGAGGGCTGCACGTTACTATTGGGCCATTATTTTATGAGATTTCCCGTTCAAAATATTGAGGAAGAATCTCAAAGCACATCCAGTAAAATGATGAAAGAGCCACTTTACTTCATTTGGAGGTTTCAGTGATAGAGTCTCGTTTGCTTTGACTCATCAAGGTCCCACTCAAGAGTGGCTTTGAAGGGAGGGTGAATCGCACAGAAAAGGGAGAAACCCCCAGGGCCAAGCCAATGGAGATGATAAATTAAATTTCTCAGCCTGGTAGACTCTGCCCTGGGATGGAGAATTCCCTACATCGCAGAATCAAAGAACAAACACCTAATGTATCAACATAAAAAAATACGGACCCTAAGGCTGCATTTATCTGCCCCATAGCAGATTCCTACTACATCAGTCTCATCTGATTTAATCTTGGGCCAGCCATTTCCTCCTGGTTTAGGGGAGTAGGACCAATGTGCAGAGCCCTGTCACTTGATGTTATCAGATCACCCCGTGATCATGAGACTTCCGGATGCTGTCATCTCTCTGTCCCACCCTCCAGCGTGGGCAAGACAGTTCTCTCCCTACAGTTGGCAGGCGCTGGGTGCAGAAGCTGCACTGTGACTACCCGGGACATCCTCTGCACCTGGGTAATGGGCGATTGCTTGAAAACGTGCCCAAGAAGATCCTCCCTGGAGAACAGCAGTTAGTGACCATGAGACACTGAGATTCTGAAGAGGATCCAGCCCAGCCCGGCTCCTGTAAACACGCAGTTCGGGAGGACGTCAGGTGAGTGACAGCTGGAAGGATTCACTGCTCCTTGCCACCATTGATTACACAGGATCATTCTCTTTCTCTCCCACTATCCTCTCTCCTCCCTCCTCCCGCATGTTGTTTCCTGACCATCCATGGCCAGCCAACATCCTGTCACATGTCTCTCTCTCTGTCCTTGTCTGTCTGTCCAGCTCTCCCCCTGGGTTCAATTCTCTCTCTTTCACTTGCTGTCAGTCCAGGCTGCTCCCCACCCCTGGGCTTTTCTCCATGTTTCTCTCTGTCCCCAGCATCTCCAAAGCCACGGGGATTGGCTGGTCCATGGCAAGTGGCTGGGGAGGGGCTGGAAATAGCAGTGATAACACAGCGCAAGGCATGGGCGGAGTCAGTCGCTGATTTCCCCGTCTGCTCTCTGCCAACAGGCATGTGTGAGGGAGTAGTAGTGGGGGACGCCGGCATCCCGCAGCAGCGGTCCCATGATGGCTGAGCTGAGCACACAGACCCGGCCAACTACAGCCTCTAGCCTGGATTACAAAGCTTTATATAATGGCACTGGATGCCAAGAGATTCTTGCCCCTAATGTGACCATCCTGAGCATCACTCTGATTATCTGCCTATTGGGGCTGGTGGGGAACGGGATCATCCTATGGTTCCTGGGCTTCCGCATGAAGAGGAACCCCTTCACCGTCTACGTCCTCAACCTGGCCGTCGCCGACACTGGCTTCCTCCTCTTCTCGGTTGTCTATGTTGTAGTTTATATGGTGCAATATCCATTTTGTGACAATCCGGAGGTTTTTTACATATTATTCCTGCTTACAATGCTGAGTCTATGGATGAACAGCACCAGCGTGTACCTCCTGACAGCCATCAGCACTGAGAGGTGCGTGTCCGTCCTCTGCCCCATCTGGTACCGATGTTGTCGGCCCAGGCACTTGTCTGCCATCGTGTCTGCCCTGCTCTGGGCTCTCCCCTTCCTGCTGTGCTGTTCCGTGTGCATTTTTTGTCTTCTCATTAATGAAAACTGTAACACTTCCGTCCTGTACATCTTTATTCTGAATGTCCTGATATTCTCCCCCATCATGGTTCTCTCCAGTTTGACCTTGTTTATCAAGGTGCGACAGAGCTCCCAGCGGCGCCCACCCAGCAAGCTCTATGTCGTCATCCTGCTCACTGTCCTCTTCTTTCTCCTCTTCACTCTCCCTCAGAGTGTTGCATATATCCTCTTCTACCTTGGTATATCTGAGCCCACTAATATGTTGTATGTGCTGGCCTGTGCAAGCAGCAGCATCAACCCCTTTATTTACTTTCTAGTCGGGAGCTACGGGAAGCGGCGATTCTGTGGCTCTCTCAAACTCACACTCCGGAGGGTTTTTGAAGAGCAGACCAATTCCGGAGAAGACAGAGACCCACCCAGCACAGACCCAAGGGAGACAGTTGTTTAAATTCCTTGATCAGCCAGCCTGGGACACCCTTTCTGGGCATGGAGATTTACTTAGATCCCAGAATGAAAGCACAAAGAAAGGGAAAGGACCTTCCTAATTCTTCCCCAGACTGCCCTAATGTGGATCCCCAGGGCTCCTTTGCTGCTGTCAACCACCAAAAGTTCTCCCGGTGCCTGATCTGGCTCCCGCTGGAATCAGTTTGAAAAGTCCAAGTGACTTGAGTGGGAACAAGTCTCAGAGAGGTTGCTGTGTTAGCCTGAGTCTGCACAAACAATGAGGAGTCTTGGCACCTTAAATAATCACAGTTGTATTTGGGCTTAAGCTGATCCCAGCTGAGAATTGAATCATTCCCCTTTGTTCTGATGGCAATAGTACAAACTAACCCACCCTCTGTCAGAGTTCAATCCATCTAGCAGTATTGCAAGGTTGCACAGGAGGGCCTGTCACTGGCCACTGGAGAGAGAGAGAGAGGAGAGCACTGAGCGCAGAGGGAAGAGAACAAGGTCACCTGCTTCGGTAGAGAAACCACGCGCAGGACTGAGGACCCGGCATCTGCTAAGGGACTCTGAGCTTCACCCCAATCATGAACCAGCATGGTGAGGAAAGCGAGGCAGGGCAAAGGAGTTGGTGTTTGCTGTGGTGTCGAAATTTGTATATTTCATACACTCGCTACAGCAAAGAGGTGTTGGTTAGAAACCCATTTGCAAAGTCCGTGTGTGTGTTTGCGTCACAGGTTTATGATGTATTCTCTGTCAAATTATTTTTATGTAGAAATAGATATAGAATCTTATGGTTATTATTGTAGAAATGATTCAGACTTTTATGGTTATTATTTTGTTTTTAGTTTTAAAGTAGATATTGTAATATCAAGTAGATATTGTAATGATATGAATTTTTTAAAATTCTGTTTCTGATCCTTGTTCTCTATGGGTATGTCTACACTACAAAGTTAATTCGAACTAACAGACATTAGTTCAAATTAACTTTGATAGGCACTACACATACAAACCGCTAGTTCGAACTTAATTCAAGCTAACGGAGCGCTTAATTCGAACTAGGTAAACCTCATTTTACGAGGACTAACGCCTAGTTCGAATTAGATAGTTCGAATTAAGGGCTGTGTAGCCACTTAATTCAAACTAGTGGGAGGCTAGCCCTCCCCAGCTTTCCCTGGTGGCCACTCTGGGCACCACCAGGGAAACTCGTCTGCCCCCCTTCCGGCCCCGGAGTCCTTAAAGGGGCACGGGCTGGCTACGGTGCCCGTGCCACAGCCCTCCGCCTCTTCCCAGGACCAGGCTGGCGGCTCCCGGGAGCATGCCCAGGTCCGCAAGAGGCAGGCGCCCGCCTGGTCTAGTGCGGAGTTCATAGAATCATAGAATAATAGGACTGGAAGGGACCTCGAGAGGTCATCGAGTCCAGCCCCCCGCCCTCAAGGCAGGATCAAGCTCCGTCTACACCATCCCTGACAGATGTCTATCTAACCTGTTCTTAACTATCTCCAGCTCAAGGCAGGACCAAGCTCCGTCTACACCATCTCTGACAGATGTCTATCTAACCTGTTCTTAAATATCTCCAGAGAGGAAGATTCCACCATCTCCCTTGGCAATTTATTCCAATATTTGACCACCCTGACAGTTAGGAATTTTTTCCTAATGTCCAATCTAAACCTCCCTTGCTGCACTTTAAGCCCATTACTCCTTGTCCTGTCCTCAGAAACCAAGAGGAACAAATTTTCGCCTTCCTCCTTGTGACACCCTTTTAGATATTTGAAAACCGCTATCATGTCCCCCCTTAATCTTCTTTTTTCCAAACTAAACAAGCCCAGTTCATGAAGCCTGGCTTCATAGGTCATGTTCTCTAAACCTTTAATCATTCTTGTCGCTCTTCTCTGTACCCTTTCCAATTTCTCCACATCTTTCTTGAAATGTGGCGCCCAGAACTGGACACAGTACTCCAGCTGAGGCCTAACTAGCGCAGAGTAGAGCGGCAGAATGACTTCACGAGTTTTGCTTACAACACACCTGTTGATACAACCTAAAATCATATTTGCTTTTTTTGCAACAGCATCACACTGTTGACTCATATTCAACTTGTGGTCCACTATGACCCCTAGATCCCTTTCCGCCATGCTCCTTCCTAGACAGTCGCTTCCCATCTTGTATGTATGGAACTGATTGTTCCTTCCTAAGTGGAGCACTTTGCATTTCTCTTTATTAAACCTCATCCTGTTTACCTCTGACCATTTCTCTAACTTGCTAAGGTCATTTTGAATTATGTCCCTATCCTCCAAAGAAGTCGCAACCCCACCCAGTTTGGTATCATCTGCAAACTTAATAAGAGTACTCTCTATCCCAATATCTACATCATTGATGAAGATATTGAACAGTACGGGTCCCAAAACAGACCCTTGAGGAACTCCACTTGTTATCCCTTTCCAGCAGGATTTAGAACCGTTAACAACAACTCTCTGACTACGGTTATCCAGCCAATTATGCACCCACCTTATCGTGGCCCTATCTAAGTTATATTTGCCTAGTTTATCAATAAGAATATCATGCGAGACCATATCAAATGCCTTACTAAAGTCTAGGTATATGACATCCACCGCTTCTCCCTTATCCACAAGGCTCGTTATCCTATCAAAGAAAGCTATCAGATTAGTTTGGCATGACTTGTTCTTCACAAACCCATGCTGGCTATTCCCTATCACTTTATTACCTTCCAAGTGTTTGCATATGATTTCCTTAATTACCTGCTCCATTATCTTCCCTGGGACAGACGTTAAACTGACCGGTCTATAATTTCCTGGGTTGTTCTTATTCCCCTTTTTATAGATGGGCACAATATTTGCCCTTTTCCAGTCTTCTGGAATCTCCCCTGTCTGCCATGATTTTTCAAAGATCATAGCTAAAGGCTCAGATACCTCCTCTATCAGCTCCTTGAGTATCCTGGGATGCATTTCATCAGGACCTGGTGACTTGCTGACATCTAACTTTCCTAAGTGACTTTTAACTTGTTCTTTGTGAATCCTATCTTCTAAACCTACCCTCTCTCTGCTTGTATTCACTACGTTAGGCACACCTCCAGACTTCTCGGTGAAGACCGAAACAAAGAAGTCATTGAGCATCTCCGCCATTTCCAAGTTTCCTGTTACTGCTTCTCCCTCCTCACTAAGCAGTGGGCCTACCCTGTCCTTGGTCTTCCTCTTGCTTTTAATGTATTTATAAAAGGTCTTCTTGTTTCCCTTTATGCCTGTAGCTAGTTTGATCTCATTTTGTGCCTTTGCCTTTCTAATCTTGCCCCTGCATTCCCGTGTTGCTTGCCTATATTCATCCTTTGTTAGTTGTCCTAGTTTAACACACGTGTCCTTTATTTTGTACATCAGGAAGGGGGGCTAGGGAGGGGTAAGTGGAAGGAGATGAGGGAGGAATGGGGTACGAGCCCCCGATGGGGAGGACTGGGGTGGCTCTGCGGGCTTTCGGGGTGGAAGCTCTCCTGAAGCCCCTTGATTGACCCTCCCTCCCCGGATGGCAGCCTGCAGCAAGCGCAGACAGGCTGATGGCCCTAAGTCCTAATTTGATGCCCTGCCGGCACTGCTTCCGGCCATCCTTAACCCCAGTTCAGGGTCCACTCAGTGTGGATATGCTAGTTCAAATTAGCAAAACACTAATTTGAACTAATTTTTTAGTCTAGATGCGTTAGTTCGAATTAACTAATTTGAATTAAGTTAGTTCGAATTAGGGCTGTAGTGTAGACATACGCCACGAGAGTAAGGAGTGAGTGAAAGGTAAAGGTCACTGTTGAACCAGAGATGCTAGAGGGGAGGATCCAACAACCGACTAAATGATCTGAATTTTTTAAAATTCTGTTTGTGATCTCTGTTCTGTGTGAGAGTAAGGAGTGAGTGAAAGGTAAAGGTCACTGTTGAACCCGAGATGCTAGAGGGGAGGATCCAACAACAGACTAGAAGAGTCCAACGGTTGCTGCATATTAAGAGAGGGCATATTGTCGACTGCGGACACCAAGGAAAAGCATGAGCATTTCTCAACGGGGACAAGAAATTTGTGATCGAAACCAGCTGAGTGTGGCAGAACAAAGACGATAAGGATCAAGAGAAACAACTGGAGATAACAAATATCTGTCATGAAAACAGAATGATGATGCAAAACCCACTGATCCTGATGGAGAAGGACCTTTATGAAAGAAGGACGGATTTCCCATAGCAGCCAGGTTCGTCCTGGCATTCTCAGACTTGAACCTCCTTCTGGGCTGAAGCAAAGCTGGGTCCTCCCTTTCACTTAGCTTATTTGGCCATCTGGGCTACTCACACGCCAGGCACCCAGGGGCGGGGCCACACATGCATCCGGGGGGAGGGCCACCCATACGGCGCACACCCTGTGCACATCCATGCGCCGCACTCCCGGGGCTGGCGCTGGCGCCGCTCCTGTGCCACACGCCCAGGGTTGGGGATTCCCATACACTGTGCGCCAGGGCTGGAACAGCCCATGCGCCACAAATTTCCCGGAGGTGGGGCTGCCACCGCCCGTGTGCTGCATGACCGGGACCAGCACCACTCCTGCGCTGCGTGCTCAGGGCCGGTGCCACCCCTGTGCTGCGCGCCCGGGGACAGCGCTGCTCCTGTGCCACATGCCTGCAGCAGGGACCGCCCCGTGTCACGCGCCCGGGGCCGGCACCACCCATATGCCTCGCGCGGGGGGCCGTCAGATCCCTTGCACCACGCACCCGGGGGCAGAGCCACCCAAACACTAGGACCGACACTGCCCATATGCCGTGCGCCCCGGGAGCCAGCACTGCCCATGCTCCATGCACCCGGGGGCAGGTCCGGCCCTGTTCACTCGGCCCCGGGCACTGTGTTGGGGACCTCTGATCTAGACCATTAGTGGCAGGTGTGTGTGTGTGTGTGTGTGTGCCTGTCTATTAGCTTATGCTAATTGCTTGTTCCGGCAGGCAGTAGCGGTTTTGTTGCAGCCCACTTTCGA